TTTAGGCATGTTGTCGAAACAAATGAATAGGATTAGGAAGAATGCCGTTTTGGAACTGCTGGTTGAAACAATGAAGTCAGTCACAGTCTTGTTGAATTGGGGGTGCGGTTAGTAATAGGTACTTTTCAAGTTTTCAATTTTTGTTAAGAACTCTTTAACCCCGAAGCCGGAATTGGGGGTGCGGTTACTATTACGTATGCGGTTTATATTAGGACTTTAACGGTACATAGCGCCCTCAACCAGCATATGGAAAAACATACAAAAAAATTCATACAAATGTAAAGTTAACTGTCTACAGTGATGAAAATGCCTAAAAACATGTACAGTACCAGAAAGTTAAATGAATATAAGGGAAGAGTGGAAAATCTAGGAGTCAAACTCAAGGTAACCTAGCAAAACTCCCAGAATGCATCTTATTTATTATAAACATTACTTCCTGTTGAATGACAGAATGATTGCTCACATATGCAAGAGGAGGATAGAAGGATGGAGGAGCAAATGCCAAAAGATCTTACTTTATTGAAGTACCGTAAAATACCTCATATAAGCACCACTTTGATACATTTTCATTTCTGTCTGGCGCTAATTTGAGGTCACATTTTGGCAACTTTGTTGCAAATGGCGCTTAATTGAGGTCAGTAATTTTTTCACGCACTCAGAACTATGGTAACGCTACCCAGAGGGTCTATGCGCTACCTTACAATCAGAGGAATCCTGTCTATACAATGTACCATATTCTGCCGTAAATTCGCCCTTGGCCGTTAAACGGCAGTTTGGTTTTTAAAATAAAATGAGACGAAGAAATCGCGTTTTTTTTTTTTAAATATTTCGGCTTCTGTTTTCGGACATTTAAATAATTCCGGACACCTATTCAAGAGAATGATTTTTATCGTGACTAACGTGAATGGGTAAGCTTCTTTTCGACAATGAGCTGTTATCACTGTAAACAATGTTAATTTATTCTTCAAATGCTCAGTTTATCTTTCCAAAACAAATAATTTCTTGATTTAAAAAAAAAATCATGCCGTTTTCCCATGGAAATCAAAGCCAAAAGATCGCACTACATTATCGGTAAATCTCTTCCGCGTTGCGGTTACCATGAGGTCGCTGAACTGTCATTAACATATTAAATGAGCTATGGTACTTCAGACACGTGGGCACCATCCAGCATTTTGATTGGTTAATTAGCGACTTGACCTATCCGGTTAATAAACAAGTCTCGTGCGTTTACATGTGACTGAAATCATTCGCTTACGGTGAAACTAAGTTGAATTTTACTTGCATTTCATAAAATTTCAACGGATTTATTTTTCGTGCGTTACTATAGTCACCACTGAATAATAATCACCAATTTCAACACTTTGAAAACAAGTAAGTTATTCACTTGTGAACCGCAGCATGGCCGGATTGCGCTACCGTACTGTGATCCATTTGCTACTAAGCAGTGCATTCGTGTTTGTTTTTATTTAAAACTTCTTTTAGAATATACTTTTCGTTACCAAGAAAATTAAAAAAATAAATGCATATTACATTAAATATACTGAGTATTTTTTTTATCATGTGAACAGTTTTTTTTTGATTGACCGTAATTTTTCAACATTTCGTAACGCCTATTTTAGAACCAAAGTAAGGCATTTTACTCTTCTCTGACGCCTATTCAAGAGATTGTACGGTGTATTAGTTTTGTGCATGTGTTAGCTCAAGTTTTAGGCGGACGTCGGCCAGATGGGGAATTCACGGTTTTACACAAACATTCAACTTTGACTGGCGCCTAATTGGTGTGAAAATTATCACCTTTTCTATTGTACTGGCGCCTAATCTAGGGTGGCGCTTATATGAGGTATTATACGGTATTGATAGCCACAGATTTAAATACAATTTCTCATTTCACAACTACTGGGGTACTACACACAAGAGTTAACATTATTACAGACAACAAAAATTTTATTTCACCTTTTATTGCAATGGAAATGCTATAGATGTCAACACCTATGCACATGTGAAGACAGATTTACCTGAACGTGGCATCTAATTGTTGTGCTGCTGTACCAGCAGCGAGATACACTGGATGTTGACATGATGGACTCCACGCTATATTGGCGGTCCTTTCGATCTCTTTAACCTTCATTTTGCACTCTGTGAAAAAAACAAGAGAACAAACTTAAATTATGAATGGCTGGTAGTCAATTGTATCCAAAGTGCAGCCATTACAACACGTACATCACGGTTTCTAAAAAAGACGGTTAGAAAACGAATCATGTTCTTTTCACTGGATGCGTGTCAGGGGTAAACATTTGAAACAAAAGACGTACTAATCTGTGATAAATCATTAACATAAAATGTAGACAGGAAATCACGCAAATATGACGTCATTTTCCCCAGAGTTCATTGCAATCAACA